GACCATATGGTATTTAATAAGAGCAGTGGTAGCCCAGAGAGTAAGCGATCGTAAAATTTAAAGTACAGTCTGTTCACTTAGATACGGTCGCTTTTGTGTCGCACCGCCTTGGCATGTGCCGCATTTTGTCAAAGCCGTCGCCGCTTCATGAAAGGTCGTCGCATGCAGCGTACACCCGCAGGACAATTTGGCAGTTTAAAAGGAGGCGCCGTAGTGAAAGGTTTTTAATATTCTAACTTGTGTTTAATATTCGTATTTTATTACAATAAACATAAGAATAAAATAGTATTCTATTTTTATCTGGAATTGGAGTTGGAAGAGGAGGAGGAGTTGAGTCTTGTGGATACCACTGTTTTTCTTGGTATTAAGAAAGATTAGAAGTCTCACAGATGTTGAGATAGCTAGGTTAGTGTATTTTAGTTACTTTCATAGCGTAATGTCTTATGGAATTTTGCTATGGGGTAATGCGACTAATATTGAAGCTATATTTGTTTTGCAAAAGAGAGCCATACGGGCGATTTATAATCTAAATTGTAAAGAGTCCCTCAGAGAAAAATTTAAAGAAATAAACATATTAACATTGGCATCGCAATATATTTATGAAAATGTATGTATGTACATAAAAACATAAATAGCTTTAATAAGAATAAGGATGTTCATACCTAAAACACTAGGAACAAACATAAGCTTGTAATGCCAGTTACTAGACTCCACAGAATTAGTAATTCATTTATGGGGCAATGTATACGCTTTTACAACAGAATCCCAGAACATGTTCAAAGTTTGTCAATAAACAAGTTTAAAAGTTTTATTAAAGAAAAACTGTACAAAAAGGGTTATTATAATATCAAGGAATACATGAATGAAAATAACCCCTGGGAATAAGGTGATTGCCACCATGCTGGTTCTATGAAAAATCATTTAAAATTGTATAAACAAAATTATTGTTAAGTGAAATTATGTTTTTAAAAAAAGTCCCGCTGGGTTTCTTGCTGTTTCTTCCCAGGACAGAGGTATTTTACGAACCAGTGGTAAAATTAAAAAATGACTTCTATTCTTTATTTTTTTATGAAATCATTCTATTCTATTCTATTCTATTCTGAGAATAGAAAAATATTTTATTTAACAAACAGATTATATGAGGTTTCCACCTATGTACTGACTCATCACGATATCTCTGCAACCATAAGCTTTAGCGACTTGAAATTTGGTAAAAATATTATTTTGCCGAGTAAAGATCGGCTAAGAACGGATTTTACGAAATTCCACCCGCAAAGTGTAGGCGTTAATTTAAAAAAAATCACAATTTGTACTAACTCATCAGGATATCTCTGGAACCGTAAGGCCTAGAGACTTGAAAGGAGATTGGTCATCCCTCTCTGGACCGCCGTTGCGCATAAAACATTTTTGTATGATATCATAAGTTGGATATAAAAAAGGGGCGATGTCGTGTCGTACTTTCAAAGGAAATAAAAATGATCTATTTATTTTGTGGGTTTTTTGTTGTTCTTTGATTTTCTGTTCAGTTTCAAGGTTAGTTTTGTAACAAACCTTCTACCAAAAAAAGCAGTCCTTACAACAACATGATTTGAATTCTCATAAGACAACAGAAAATAGTTCCAACAAACCAGTGAATGATCCCAATAAAATAATATTACAATGGTAGGTAGGTCATACTAAAGGTAAAATAGGTTTGTAGGTAAAGGATGTAGAAAATTATAATGGTTGATTAAAGGAATAAAATAGTGCCGACACGATGCTTTGTTTGACTTGACTACTTGATTATAAAAAGATACTCTATGGATAGTGATACTTTTGACAGTTCACCTTTCATTTTCATTGTTTTTCATTTTAAGTAATATTATTTTAATTAAAAATAAAAATATTTATAACGCGCAAAAATGCCGTAGTTAAATTAGTTTTAAAACACTAAACAAACACTATCAATGCATAAGTATGCTTTGTTTGACTTGACAGTGACACTTTTGACTGTTGACCTTTCATTTCCATTTACATAATATAAAAATGTCATTTCGATCAAGTTAACTAAGAAAAGTTAAAAAAATATTTTATAATTTATGAGTATGTTTTTGTAGCTATACTGTTTTATTATAAAGCGATTCTGATTTTGGTCATTGGCCTTTGTTAGGAATATTCCTTTCGCCGAGTAGAGGTCAGCTAAGAACAGATTTTACGAAACTCCAACCGGGGGCTTTAATTTAAAAAATCACATTTTCAAAGAATATTGGCCAGAATATTCTTTTTATATTTGTTTGAATGGCTCCCCAAATGGTTTGGATTCATGGTTAGAGCCGGTAGGTGGCAAAATTGTCGATATCCAGAAATCACGAGTGTGAAGCCGAGGCGGATCGAATTTAGGATATTTTTTTGCATAAATAATTAATCAGCATTGGACGCGGAACATTCTCATTTATCCTATAGTATATTCTAAATATCTTTATATTTATATTATATAATTCTATTGTGTGTATGTGACCGAACTCCTCCTTAACGGCTGGACCGATTTTGTTGATATTTTTGTGTTTGTGATTCAGTTGATTCGAGAAGGGTTTAGATTCACAATTGGACCCGATAAGTGGCGCTAATGTCAGTGTATAGAAATACGACTAGTAGACTATATACGAGTTTTAGACTATAGAGCGAGATTACACAGACACTAATGAATAGGCGTACAATGAACTTGTACGTATTATTCTCATAGTACTTAAAAGTCACCATGGGCTAAATTCATATACAAAGATATCAATTTATTTTAATGATGGGTAATTGTTGGATGATACAAGAAAAATTAACTGCGTTTTAGAATTTTTTTCCCTTTCTAACATCGTAGAGCCACGCGGCAGCTGTTTGGCTGCAACGCAACCAAACAAAAAAAAATTGGCCAAGTGCGTTGGGGCCACGCACAATGTAGAAGTAGGGTTCCGTATTTGCCCGTCGCTATACGTGGACTTTCTAGATAATGAGAATAAGTTCGCGGTTTGACCGCTACGACTAAAAATAGGCCCAAATAGAAAGATCGTAACTGAAGGACTTATATTAAAATTAGAATAAATCAAACATTAATTAAATAACTGGCCAAAGTTTTTTCTGGGACGTTATCAGAACAAACCGAAACAAGTTATTCGTAGTTATCAAATGTGCATGAACTGTCACAATTGTTAGCAAAATAAACTCTGGTTCTAACCGACTGAGCTCCACCACGTTATATACGCAGAGTTACAACTCCAACAAAATTGCATTTATTTTTCAAAAAAAAAATACAATCCGTGAGTGACGCAGTCTCAAAGAATACGTGATGCGGATAACGGCTTAATAACGTATTAAGGAGGCACCTGATTTTAATATGGAAATGATTTGACAAAATTTTACTAGGCGGATGTACTCCTTTTTTGGGTGAGTTCCACTCTCTTGTTTATCTGCTGGTAAGCAGAAGTGCGTGCACTGCTGTCATCCGGTCTGAACGGTATAGAGAGTCAGTATGATTACAGACTTAGAGACATCCCGTCTTAGTCCTCAGTAGTGAAAATACACCTGTTGCTTTCTTTGTTTAAATTTGGTTGTAGATGTCCACAGATTACAGTATCCACTCGCTCGCTATCAGGTGTACGAGGGGCACACTGAAATGATCGGGAATAAGAAAAACCACATGCACGGTATAGCTAAATTGTATTTTATTGTTTTCGAAGTATTGTCCCTTCAACTTAATGCACTCTTCCATTCGTGCAAACCAATCATTAAAACAGTAATTCCAGTCTGAAGTCGATGTTGACAAAACAGCTGATTTGTACGCTTCCACAGCTGCTTCGGGGTCTTCAAACCGCTGACCGCGTAGCAAATCTTTCATTCTAGGGAATGTAAAGAAATCGTTTGGGCTCAGGTTAGGATTGTTCGAAGTATGGCTCATCAGTTAATCATCAAAAAATTATTTGTCTTCCGAGCCGTATGGGAACTCGCATTATCCTGATGTAAAATGATGCGACGTTTCGGGTTATTTTTTCGGAGTTCGGCTATCATCTCTGGCAAACAAACCGTGATATACCACTCAGCGGTAACCGTTCTGTGTTTGTGTAATGGAATTGTAGCAACATGCCCCTTTTTCGAGACAAACGTAGCGACCATTTTCTTTGATACGCTGCGGGAGCAAATCACTTTCGTTGGTTTGACCTCGTCTTCGAAGACTCAAACTGCTGACTGATGTTTTCTTTCAGGTTCTTATGAATAAATCCATGATTCGTCACCTGAGACGATATTATAAACGGCATTTGACTTCCCTCCGTTGAAGCGTTGCAGAGTATTCCGGCACCAATCTACACGAGCCGCCTTTTGCTCTTCGGACAAATTGTGGGGAACCCAGCGGGACACTAGCTTTCTTACACACAGTTCATTATGTAATGTGGACTGAATTGCAGTCATTCCGATACTGATAACAGCCCGAATCTGCTCGTATGTCACATGACGGTCATCTAATATAATATTTTGCACAGCTGCGATGTTTTCAGGCGTGACCGCTGTTCTTGGTCGACCTGCAGAAGAAACAGTACTGAGCGACACACGACCGCGTCGGAACTCGGCATACCAGCGGTTTATTGTCGTTTGACTCGGTGCTTCAACATCATAAATCGAAACAAGTTCGCTGAGACATTTATCTTGAGATAAGCCGTGACGAAAATTGTGATAAATTATGGCACGGAAATGTTCACGCGTGAGATCCATTTCTGTTAACATCGTGTCAACGTGTCAACTTTAAACCAACATAGTTTTTGTTTTTAAACATTTTTTTATTGTTTGAATGTCATTAAGATTCTAAGAGGCCAGTATTCAAATTTAAAAAAAGGGTTTATTGTAACTCAATCCGAAATATTCTATTCCCGATCATTTCAGTGTGCCCTAGTACAGTTAGTTCGTATGCTACTTTAATTTTATAAAAATAAATAAATAATAAAACGCTGATAAAAATTATGAAATACGAAAATACTTACAGAAATCAGCTGGATTATGGTATGGTGGGCAGCGCAGTCCAGCGCTAGATAATGCCGGTAAAAGGTGTACTCTTGGTCCTGAATATAACGTTCTGCCATTCGCCAGGCAGTAAACTGAATCAATCTTTTCGAAGAGCAATGCTGACGGTTGATGAATAGTTGCTATCAGAGTCCTTCCGCCACGAGCCAAGCCGTTTAACAGTGTGATGAGAGATGCCGATGCTGATGAATCCAAGCCCCTAAGAAAATAAGTACAGCCTAATTGTATTTTATTTAACAATTTCATGTATATGGTGATTCGGAGCGCAGTGGCTAAGTGTTTGGTGGCGGTGCTGCAGAACTGCGGATTCGAATCCCGCACAGAACAAGTGTTTGTATGCTCTACAAATAATTAGTTACAAGACGGGATATTTGTCTATGTGATATTTATGTACATAAAACGCCTTTTCAACACTGGTGTAAATCCTACTGTTAGGTTTACGTTTTTGAAAAAATGTCTAGATTTATATTTTTAGAAGACGTCGTGAATATTATGGTCTTATTCACAAAGTAATTATATTCACATTTCTACCCAAGTAAATATATTAAAGAATATTAGTTTGTCTTTATTAATTTGTTTATAAGGAGAAAAAAATTATGCGAATTCTATTGTAAGTTATTTAATATCATGAGAAAACTCTACAAAATAATAGACTCATTAAAATAATATACATTGAATTATTATTATTAAAAAATTATTTAAACGTCAAGTGTTTGTATAAAAGGACTTGACATGTATGACCTTTTAAACTTAGTTAATTAAGTAGGTACTCACGTTGTAGGCTCGTCTAAGAATAATAAAGATGGATCGGATAGTAGTTCTAAGGAAACTGCAAGTCTTCGTTTCTGTCCACCGGATAGGTCTCTACAAACAGTTTGAGCCGCTCCACTAAGTCCTAGGAGAGCGAGAATTTCATATACCTAAAGAGATACAAACATTATACTCTCAGAAAAGGTAAAAAATTAAAACAAATAATAAAAGACTTGGCTTGGCAAGGTATAACATAAATAAATAAAAAACAACCTTAAAATAGGTTAGTACTATTTTTTCTACCATCAAATTATTTAACGAATAATCGCATTTCATTATATTTTTATTGGCATTAAATTTAAGCCCCAAAAGGGAATAAATTCATCAAACTGCACGCAGTTCGTTGCTTGTAATCGACTATTAATGGCAACTTTCTCTTACTTTCTCTTTCCTCTCGTGTGATGTGAAGTCAGCCAATTTAAGTGCAGCTGCTAGAGACATGGATTCATACACTGTGAGATGCACCCGGAGGTCATCCTGTTGGCGAATGTACCGTGCGCCGCCGCGACTATTCGATTGCGATGCGCATATTTGCACTCCGTTGACCTTTATTTCACCCTTCGCTCCTTTAGTTCTGAAAGTTAAACGAACTTTAATAGGTTTTCTTCCATAACATTGTGGTTTGGTTTGGGAGACAATTTATTGAAGTGGCGAGTGCGTGCCTTTATGAAGATAAACATTGCATCAGATCAAAGATACGACGAATATACGAGAAATGATTTTTTTATTACTTTTTTATATTAAAACTGAAGTGACAAACTAACTCATAGTCCACCTGGTGGTAAGTGACTACTGCAGCCCATGGACACTTGCAGCCAACTTCAAACAAAGGAAGGCGACAGTTGCTTGTCACCTCCGAAGATTAAGTTGGGTGAAATACCTGACAGTCTTCAATTATACTGGCTTACTATTAGGAACACTGTACTGCAAGCATTGCTATTGGTATGGCGGCACAAATTATTCATTATTTTCGAAATCTTTTGAAAGTTATTATTATCGTAGAGAAAAATAATCACATGTTACATTAAGAATATCACTATCTAGGTCCCCAGGGGTGAAAACTGAAAAAGCATAGTCTGCATTTTATTTCTGAACCGAGGATAGATGTAAATGTCTATGGGCCACAGTATCCACTTGATGGTAATGTGGACTGTGTGCTTGTTGGTCACCCTTCAATTATTAAAAATAAATACATAGTACATACTGATATAGCGTTCTACTTGAACCATTGTTATTGAATAAAGTTTATGTAACAAACTTAATGAAGGAGAAACAATCATTTGTAATGCTTTAGACCATTAACTATATTTATTTAGCTTGTCTGAATAAATAAACAAATCGTACATAAACATTTTTAAACTGCTAGTAGTATTAGTTTTGAACATAAATATCTCTGGTCAAGGCATGTTTCCTTTAGGCAGTAAGAGATGTCAGTAAGAGATGGGTACGAGCAACATAAAAACATAACGGAAAGAAGGAGAAATAGTTGTAAATATAGACTTTGCTATTGATATAACAGTAAATACAGTTGACAATAAAACTTACGAATATCCGGCAAGTATGTTTAAAAGTGTGGTCTTGCCAGCTCCCGAAGGACCCATTATAGCTGTTAATTCGCCCGGCTTAAAGCAGCCACTCACTCCTTTCAGTATGTGCTTTGGTACTAGAAATAAAAAAAAATTAATAAAGATTGGAAAGAAGAAAGATTAAAAACTGTGTAAGCTTAATATCAAGAAAAGTTTAATATTTAGTAGTGTACAACAATTTACTACTATGACTTCTTCTAAAAATGAACTAATTCGTTAGTTCTTAAATGAAATTAAATATGTTGTGATAAATCGTAATTTCTTAATTTGTAAAGAATCATTGATTCCTACCGAAAATAAGCTGTCGCATGTTATCCTAAAAGTAACTTACACGCACACACACACGCCCGCACGCATGCATGGACATACACACACACACACATATATATACATACATATATACATATATACATATATATATATATATATATATATATATATATTTAATTGTTTATTTAGATTGTATGGTTAATTATATCGAGTACATTTTTTTAAATTATTATTTTATTTGTATGTGCTAGTTTATTACTTATTATTATGTCACAATTACAGTTTAATAATATTTTTTTAATATTTTAAAAGGTAACATGTCAAATATAAAAACATACATTTATTATCAACGATCATTATTATTACATTTTATTTGCAAATATGTTTCTTTAGTTTAAAATAAGAGTCGTTCGTCGTTCGTTAATCGGGGCGGGTGACGTGCTCAATGAATTACTTGTAAGGAAACATTGTAGGAAACTAAAAGAAAATGAATTGTTATGCGTTTATTCCAGCTCAACAAATAAATAAAAAAAATAAAATAAAATGGTATTGTATACAAGTACATACACATATCATCATCATCATTACAGCCTTTCATAAGTCCACTGCTGAACATAGGCCTCCCCCAAGGAATGCCACAAAGCACGGTCCTGAGCCACCTCCATCCATCGACTTCCTGCATGTCTTACCAGGTCGTCACTCCATCGCGGTCGCCCTACACTTCGCCTACCGGTACGAGGCTGCCACTCAAGAACCTTTCTTCGAGCTATATGGCCGGCCCACCGCCACTTCAGCTTACTAATCCGTTGGGCTATGTCGGTTACTCTGGTTCTACTGCGGATATACTCATTTCTAAGTTTATCACGCAGAGAAACCCCGAGCATAGCCCACTTCATAGCTCGCTGAGCGACCTTGAGCTTCCTCATACGGCCAGTAGTGAAGGACCACGTCTCAGATCCGTAAGTCATCACTGGCAACACGCACTGGTTGTACAATTTCGTTTTAAGGTTTTGAGGTATGTCTGACGAGAAGATGTGTCGTAGTTTCCCGAACGCTGCCCAGCCGAGTTGAATCCGTCGATTTAACTCTCGGTCATATACACATACTAGCTTTTTACCCGCGGCTTCGCTCGCGTGCGCTTGAATTTAGGGACATCATTAAATGCTGTTCCGAGTCAAATTTAGAAATATTCGATCACTTTTAGAGTCACTTTGGTGTCTATGTGTCTCTATGTCTGTCAGACATTTTTTTTTCATTCTAAAATACTATTAGACGTAGATGATTGGTAACATGCTACAGAAACACGTGAATATACTTATAATATGTCTAGCAACTCCTACTATTTTTTATATATGGTGTGTCTTCCGATTCCGATGTATCCATAAGAAAGGTAAATAGTCTTGAAATCAAAATGTATTATTATTATTCACATTTAACTCTTTACATATATATATTCATAGTTAAAAGTAAATTTAGTTTTAACAGAGTAATATAATATTTATTTGAGACATTTTATTCATATCATTAGTCCTATTTAATATTGATTGGCACCATAAAAACATATAGATATTTTTATTTACTTCGAGTAGACTTGAAAATTTCATAAATACAGTTCTATAATAATGAATACCACACATGGATTAAAACTAATGTTACGGGTTTTTTTACGCATCTTGACTCCTCACCGAATGAAAGCACCGAAGCTCCGGGAAGTCTAAAGTATGTAAACATGTTTAGTATCGCCCCAACCATTATATACAACAAATCCTTGCAATAGAACACCGAATCCTACCAATGATGATTCGCGAGGCTATTGAAATTAAAAATATCCTAATTTTAATAGGGAAGATGGCTGAGTGCTACTATCTGCTAAGGACTCCATGATTAATAAAATTAAATTTAAACTACTACTGCATTTTAACTATTCTATTTTAACTATGACATCAGGTCGTCAAACACCTCAGTTCTCCCACCCCTCCCGTGACCATGGGTGCTGTAAATTGCCCAAACCATCGGGAATTTAAAAAGTTAAAATTAAACGCGATAAAATCCTTAAAATTACTTTCATATTCCTTATAAATTTTATACACATTGAACGTGAGGAACACTACACTCATGAACGGGAGTAGAAAAATGTTCGCACTGTTGTGGCGGTGAAAGAAAATCCAACATATCATATCGTCCCGTCGTAAGAGGCGACATAGGAAAAAAATAGTAGATGGGATATGACTTTTGATAGGCTGACGATAATGAGTTCTACTTATCTTTGCAAGCCTTAATATTTACGGTAGAGTGAAAACATAAATTATCATAATCGAAAACACGAATGAAATAAAAACTGCATATATTGCCCCATGAAAAGTAAAAAAGCAGCTTACATACATGCTGGGCACAGGCTGTAGAGTTTTTGGCCAAAAAGGAGTTCGCTGCACTGATTCCAACGCGGGATGAATGTAATGTAAATGATTCAATTATTTACATCGTATATTCAATAGCATTGTATTATTTCATTTTATGGATGACTTGCCATTTTAGTTTATTTAGAAGTAGGAAGAAAAGAAGGTGGCGCTAATATTAGATGAAATAATGAAAGCCAAAATTATACCACCTAGTAATATCAGCAATTTTATTGCTGATATTACTATTTATTATATCATTGCGAACATTTATTTATTATATCAATAAGGGATAAAGTGATGTCAATTCTCTTAAAAGTTCTGTTTCTGTTAAAAATAAGCTATCAGCGCCGCTAGAGGTGAGAAACGATAATGATATCGTCATATGACCATATTATGAAATAGCAACGTTGTGTTTAGTTACTAATAACTTCAAAAGATTTCTATTCATTGATTTGGTCAAGCTATATCATGACACGGTTATCAAATAGTGTTAAATACACATTCATTTCAGTCATTTTTTCAGTGTTTTCACGAAATGATAGACTACTTTATTATATATGATCAATTCTATGATCTGGCCACGACATACATAAAAATCTCTTTAATAAAACTATGCTGATAATGAAAATTTGGCAACAATTGCAGACAGACCAGTTTTTATTACTTTACATATATATTAGTAATTGAAATAAATACCTTATCGATTTTCATATTTTTGATAAACGTCACTATTATCTATTGAAATTATTACACTTTTAAAATAAAATAACAAAATACTAAAAAACTGAACGTTACAAATTTTTAATAATTTTAAAAATCTAATATATTAATCATATAAATGTAAGTTATTTATATTATTTCATTTATTAGTAACTGAAGGCAAAATATACAACTTTTTCCATTTGATGATAGATGGCGCTGTTTTGAATACGAAATCGGTGTAGTTTCAAATTATTTTACCAAGATTATAACTATATTTTAACTTTATTTACAAATATGGTAATATGGTATTTATTTGAAAAACACCCGTCATTCCGCCTATAACTAAGATACAACAGAAAATTAATATCTAAAGGAAATTAATATACTTAACCTAACTTTTTTGAAGTTCCGTATTCGGATAAAAAGTAGCCTATAAGTTGCCCCGGGTTACTGACTACCTACATACAAAATTTCATGTAAATCGGTTCAGTAGTTTTTGCGTGAATCCGGAATACACAGACAGACAGACAGACAGAAAGACAGACAGACAAAAATTCTAAAAACCACTAATTTAGCTTCAAAACCCTTTATTTAGTCCCCTTGACTTGTTTTTTCAAGAATATATTAGAATTACAGACACGACTTTTCTACAGATTTATTATATGTATAGATTATACATGTACATATTTTACCTACATTCGATTTTGTAATGGAACATCTGCATGTTTTAGTCTATGATTGTAAATAGCGTGGAATATAAATGAAGAAATATATTTTTTCTATTGTAATATAACGATATTATTACCTATTTATTTACTTGAGCAACACATCATTTTACTTACTTGACTACCGAATTATTATTTACGTCCAGGTTTAAATTTTAATTTGAAATGTCGTATTATTAGCGCTGCTCCACGCTGCATGAATATTGAAGCCAAAATGACACCTAAGTAAGGTGTACGGATAGCAGTACAGTTCACTTGAATATAGTGAATGTACAGGATGCGAAATCTAGTGCGTAGTATACATATATATAGCGATGCTGCTGATACTCTGCATTCGTCTTCTCATTCTCTCGAAGTTTAGTTTTCAGAAGGTTTCACTTCCACCGGTTGTGAACTGCATAAATGTTTTTAAGAAGTGAAAACTTCTTTAGCATCGTTGTGATTTGAAATAAATGAAACTAAAAAGCGACATTAAAGAGAGACAAATATATAAATAAATCTATAGGAAAGAATGAGAGAGAATTTATACTAATACAATAAAGGAAAGAGGTTTTCGTTTGTTTAAAAACGCTAATCTCTGGAACTATCAGCCAATTTGATAAATTATTTTTGTATGTAACAACCAAATTCACAAGAAATAGTTTCGGCTATTTAACACTAGGCTGCACCTCTCAGCTGGCCTTAAATATCAATTTCTGTAAAGCAAGTCTGAAGAAAAAGCGCTTCCGAATTGCTTAATCCGCGTGAGCTGGCGTAATGGTTAGTGATACGGAAATACTACCTTATGCAAAAAATAGATCTTTCCTCCATTTAAAAAAAGTACGCAATACCATAGTCTTTTCTTATACGTAAGCCACAATAAGGTATTTTGCGACAAAAAAAAACATTGAAAATTAAAAAGTGATTTATGAGCGTTATTACTAGGCATAGCATATTAATCCTTACGAACGAAAGTTACTTTTCATCATCAAGACAGTTTTA